CCCCAAAACCCCAAAACCCCAAAACCCCAAAACCCCAAAACCCCAATCTAAAACAATTATTTTGAATTATTAAGTTTAATATGGCAACTAAGAAAGCGGAAGTCTCCAAGGCTTCTGGGGAAGAAAATGGGGAGGAGCTTGATGTCTTTGGAGACATACCCCAAGCCAGGTTTGGTCATACCGTCACACTCGTCAGTAGCTCAAAGGCAGTACTATTTGGAGGTGCTACAGGAGATACAGGAAAGTACATTATGACAGGAGATACATACTTATTCAATATTTTATCAAAAACATGGGCAAAGCTAAGTGTCAAAGGAGTTCCACCAAGTCCAAGAGCAGCTCATCATGCTACAAATGTAGAACAAATGCAGATGGTTGTCTACGGAGGAGCGACTGGAGGTGGATCTTTGGCATCAGATGATCTCTTCCTTCTTGATATGAGAAATGGAGAGGAAGAAGCGACCTGGATGATAGTACCAGTCGTCGGTTCAACGCCAGGAAGAAGATACGGACATACCATAGTTTTTGCTAAACCACATCTTTTAGTATTCGGTGGAAATACCGGCTCAGAACCCGTAAATGATGTATGGTGTTTGAGCGTCGAAAAAGCACCCTTCTCATGGACTAAACTCAATTGTGGAACTAATGTTCCTCCTGTTAGAGTTTATCATTCTGCTGCTCTCTGCTCGACCGGATCAGCAACAGGAATGATGGTTATTTTCGGAGGCAGAACTAGCGATTCGAGCGCCCTAAATGATACTTGGGGGTTAAGAAGGCATAGAGATGGAAGATGGGATTGGGTTCCAGCTCCCTATAAGACTAACAGCGAGATTCCTACTTATAGATACCAGCACTCGACTCTTTTCCTCGGTCCATTAATGATAGTAATTGGAGGAAGAACTAACACTGTTGGAGAAGTAGTTCCTTTAGAGGTATATGATACTGAAAGTTCTGAATGGACTGCTTTTCACTCACTTCAAAGATTCAGACATGTCTGATGGGCAGTTGGGTTTACAATGTACATCCATGGAGGCTTCGAACAAGACACTCCCAATATTCCTATCAATGTAATCTCCACTATTGATGGTGAGAAATTGTTTGCAGATAGCGAAATCCTATATGGAAAAATGAAGAATGCTGAAAAGAAGGACAGCAAGACAAAAGACAAAGGGAAAGGTGGATATAAAAATCAAACACCTTACAAGTATAAAGGAGGAACTGGTGAAAAGGAGTTCAAATTAGCTCATACCGCTCATATAGCTCACTGTTATAGTAAAGAAGTCGCTCCACATGCACCTGAAACAGATTTTTCGAAACTTGTCAGACAAATTTCGATTGACAAACTTGAAGAGGAAGCTAAGAAGATAGGTCCTCCAATCCCTGGATCAGCCTCCCAGATTGTTAAAAATCCAAAGGAAGCTCTTTGCACTATGTTCATTAATGATCTTATTAGACCAAAGGAATGGCAAGAATATCCTATTCAGGATGAGTTCAGATTTAAAGAGACTCATATACATGAGTTAATAGAAGAGTGAAAAATGATAGTAAACTCTCAGCCTATTGTACTAAAGGTCAAACCTCCCTGCAAAGTATTTGGAAATATCCATGGGCAATATATCGACCTTATGAGATTCTTTGATGTCTGGAAGTTCCCCGGAGAAGACTCCCAAGGAGGTGATGTCAGTGCTAATGATTACATTTTCCTTGGAAATTACGTTGACAGAGGATCGAACTCTCTAGAAGTAATCTGTCTCCTAATGGCACTGAAGGTGAAATACCCTGATCAAATTCATCTCCTCAGAGGAGCTCATGAGGATAAGATTATCAACTACGAATGAGGCCTCGCAGACGAGTGCAGAGCTAGACTCGGTGAAGATCCTGATGACAAGGATTCAGTGTTTCAAAAACTTAATGACTTCTTCGAGCACCTTCCTCTTGCTGCTTCTATCAAGAACAAGATCTTCTGTATCCATGGAGGTATTGGTTCAAGAGTCAATAGAATCAATGAGATAGAAGCCCTTAAACGTCCGATTGAAATTCCAGAAGAAGTGACTACTCAAGAACAACAAATTGTGATCGACTGTTTATGGAGTGAGCCTACAGATTCTGATACTGAGATGGGGGTTGTTACAAATTCTGAGCGAGCTGCTGGAGGCAAGAGAAACCTCGTCAAATTTGGCCCAGACAGAGTAGACAAATTCCTAAAAACTAACTATCACTTTATGATTCTTAGATCCCATGACATCGTATCAGGAGGATATTCCAAGTTTGCTGACGGAAACTGTATCACTATAAACTCGTGAACAGACTTCATTGGAAGTTATAACAACGATGCTGGCTTCTTTGTTGTTCAAAAGAAACTCGAAATAACACCAAAGATAATCAGACCTTTGAAAACTACAGAAAAGAGATGGCAAGATGAACAGAAAGGTGAAATCGCTCCTTTGAAAGATAAAAGTTCAGATTAATTAATCAATACTTTGAAGCTTTTTTGGGGTTTTGGGGTTTTGGGGTTTTGGGGTTTTGGGGTTTTGGGGTTTTGGGGTTTTGGGG